CCCCTTATTCTTTAATCCTGACAACATTAAGGGAGTAAATGGTTTGAATTCGGGCCTTGACAGAAGATATCGTGTTGAGAGTTTCCTCAGTCTCTCTAGGTAAAATGTCGGGAAGACACTATACCTTCAAATGACCCATAAGCCTCCTTCTAAATCCTTACCTGTCCACCATTCATCACCATCTTCCAGTCTCAATCTAAGCCACATGCCTGTAACATCTACAACATAAACAGGGAATGTGAAAAAGTCAAAGAATGTACCTAACCGCAAGACGAGACAGCACTGCGAAAAATAAAAGTAACGAAGTTTGGGAACTGAAGCGGAGACAATTTTTGCTCGGGCCGGCATTGTATTAGCCGATCCTTCGACCCTCTGTTAAATACCAGATTTCTTTCGTTTACGTAGTAGGCCTATAGGGTTATGTCATACTCAAGAATCGTGGTTCGGCTGAAACGCGTCAGTACTCCAGCGTGTTTCGTAATGTTTCAAGTTCTCGTGTTTTAATATCACACAACGAAAATAAACTTCGAAAATGGGACTTACAATCACCTGCAAATATCTTGCGGACCACAGACTGATAACTAATAAGATACCAGCCCCTGGCACACGCCCTACAAGAAACGAGGGGATAAAACTTTGCAGATTTCAGTTAACATATTGGAAGAGAAAGTTCCATAACATAAAAATAACACCTTACATTGCATTACATGCAATTGCATACACGGTCAGGTTTCACGAAAACACCATAAATCACACAACTGTCAATTCCGTTGCTTCGTGCATTATCTCATCTTAAAAAATATCTATAGCCGACTCTGAAGTCAAAGGCCACGCTCGACCTAAAATGTAACGACTGTTAATAACATGGCTTAGCGGTCAAGCGCGCCATAATGTAGACATACCCGCATAACGCTCATGAAGGACAAGTTGCCGCTACGACACGGCGAACATTCGTGTACCGAGTCCTGCCAAGACTGCAGTCGAAGTGCAGCTCCAGGGGACGACTGAGTTAATGGCGACTGGGCACATCATGGCCAGTGTTAGAAGTTTGAAGAACCAGAATCAATATCTACTATTAACAGAATACAGAACCAGTCCTTTTGTTCTGTAAGATTTTCCATCACATACCCACGTCGATCTAGCTATATCAGAAATTCAAAATATTTATTGCGATAAGATTTTGTACTTTGTCTTTCGTAAATATTCACGAGGACAGAATGTGACAGAGAAATATCGCGGTTTAAAATACACAAAACTAACATTTACCTTGTCTTTTAAATAACGAAGCACAATTCAAATCATTTCATACACATTTTATTTGTTTTTATTTTTAAAAATTGTATCACTAAGAATGTCCATTAAATTTAAAAGATGGTAAATTAATTAACCATTTTTATTTATTAATATACCTAGTGCTTTACAGTTCAGTAAATAACCAATTTGTTTTCTTTAATTATAACCAGCAAAACATACAAATTTTAAATTTATTTTTAAGATTTATAAATTTAGATTTACAATTTCGTTCACGGATTCGACGAAGAAACTGCGTTTGTACAACGAGAAGTTGCTAGAATCAGGATTATCGCACAGTCACATAACATAACAGATCTCCCTTCTTCGCTTATGTAGTAAGGACACAGGCGACAGAAACACGTGTTTGTAGTAACAATCTGCAATAAACAGAGGTCCTCGATGTGTGGCAGAGCGACACGTTCTTCAACGTTACTGTCGTGTTATGTGGGAGAAATGAAAACCCCGTCAATTACTTCAGGTGTAATACAAAATATTGATTTGGAAATTGAAGTCGTTTAAGCTCGGCGTACGTCTGATTACGTAACAGCTCGCCTGAAGACTGATACAAACAAGTGATTGTAACAGAATAACCAAGGCGTGTTATGACAGAACACAGACTTACCCAGCATACTTTATCAACAGTTTATTTTCAATTCTGCATGCATCACTGCCATAACAAAATAGTACCTAATATTGTCGAAGATTTTAAACTTGAATTTCCTGGCCAATATAAGCTCATAAATGACGAACATAAATTCATTTATAAATAAATATATTTCACAGGATCTGAAGCTAAATCTCACACACTACTTGCATAGAACGTTTTTAATTTTCAGAATGGTATAAATCGTGAATGGCAGATCCACTGACTCCTATCTGAACAAGTCGTAAATAATATTTCGTGGGCATATTTAGCCATTGACACCCCAGTTTCAGTCCTCCAAGGTAAGGAAAATTATTAATCTTCATACAAACGAGACCTGTCTCCTGAATTAGTGGTTTAATTTAACGACATTAGATCAGGAAGGAATCCTCTTAAGCAGAGGGCGGCCGAAAAATATTCAGGAACTGTGACAGAAAAATGACGTTCCGGCTCTCATGTCGGTCAGGAACGAGTTCCCCAAATTTCACTGCGAAAGTGTGTGGACAGTCGTAGACAAGTCAATGGCTCTAGTTTGGGGCATGCGTCAGGTTGGAGATTTACACCAATAGAAATATCCATGTACAGCAGCGAATTTAAGAAGCCTGCAAATCCTTAAACAATGCAGGAGTATTGAAAATGAAGAGTGTTTGGTGTCAACGTAAATTCTGAGGTAGGTGGCGGGAATATTCCAAATAGTGCTGTTAAATAAGTGTATAGACAAGTTGTTTCGCCTTGGGTCTCAGATTTGGGAACACTCAGTACAATGAGACGTAGGTGAAATTGTAAGAGAAATATCGATTTTCTGCTGGAGGACACTGTCCCATAATTCTCCATGAATGTATACCCCTCAGATAAAGTCGATAGTCGAACGAGTGTCATTTGTAAAACCGTCAGAAACACAAAAGATTTTTAAGGCTTTATCGATGAAAGTGGAGCATATAAATAAATGCTCCTACAGCCGACGTCTTCACATGACAGGCAACTTTCTACTTCACGCGACATACTTCATATGACAAACAGCAGAGGTCGCCCGGAACAGAACGACGCACGTGAAATTGAAATGTAGGAACTTGAAGTGAGTTTCATTTCCGATTCCTGTGTTTGAAGCTTCTTCAATAGTGTGCATTTTGTGAGTTATTTGTACGCAATTCTGTTCTGCATTCCTGACCAAAACCACGAGTTTCCAGTGCCCCGTCCGAGATTCGAATCGTCGGTTCTTACCCTAACCGCGACGGAAGTAGTGTTTTTTTGTGGGGGGGGGGGGGGT